GTCGCAACATGATTCATGTAGTTCTGAAGAAGTTATGAGCTGAAAAACGGTTTTTTACCCGCTTTTTCAAGAGCCTAGATCTCGGCGATGTCTCAATGGATCGGTACAGTTAAGACATTTTCTGATAGGGCAAACCTCACCATACAAAACCTATGATCGCAACATCAGACACTTTAAACGTCTGGATTTATAAGAGTTTAAATATCAGTTGTCTTAAGCAACCTAAAATCGCGGAATTTTTAAAAATTCTCGTTCTCGGCGGCCACTCCTCAAATCAAACTGATTTTTTCACTATTTGATAGAACGACACTTACCCTTCAAAACCTATGAAGTCGCAATTGCTGACGTCTTCAACCAGCAGATTTATAACAATGGAATCATGGCATGATTATTCATTATTTAATCATTCAAAATTCTTGATCTCGACGCTTACTGCCTTGATCGGCCTACTTTCTTGGCAGTACGTCATAACAAAATGTACTTGATAAAACACATAAATTCTAGCTGAGCATCACTCACAAATACACTATTTCATTAACAAGTTTATTGAAAACATTTACGCAGTTGTACTTCGTATTTGTGGCCCTAAAGAGGGCCTTTGGGTCACAGTTATTGGCCCTAAAGAGGACCGTTGGGTTAGAGCTCTTCAGTTATCCGAAGTCATCATGAAGCTTTGCTCTATCGTAGAAAGTGCTGAGGCGTATATGCGTCGATGTCGGTGATGGCCTCCAGATGCTCGCAGTGGGCGACGGCGACTTCCTAGAAGTAAAATACATAGAATATGCTCTCAATACTTTCTTTTGCGTTCGCTTTGCTTAATTTCCTTTTTTTCAGTTTCAGCAAAAAAAAATCAAAACCCAAAAGTCTGAAAAAAAAACCAAATCAAAACAAAACAAAAAACCCAAACTCAAAGTCCGTCCCGTGCTCCCCCACCCCCTCTTTTCGACCCCCCCCCCCCGTCAACTTTGAGAGGTGAGTGTCCGGCACTACCACCTTCACTTTTGGCCGTCCAGTGGTAGCTGGAACCACCTTCACTTTTGGGGGGCCCGGCTCCACCTATCGCACCTCTGACTGTGATGCACACTAATTTATCTTACTCGATCATAAAAGTTCGTAATTTCCACATGAAAGTAAAATTTTGACGTAACATAACGGTGCTCAATCAATAATTGAGAAAGAATTCGAGAAGAATTGAATTGAAATTGGGGCTAAGTAAAAAGAAAGGAACTCGAAAGGAAGTAAAAAGTGGTGATTGAAGTCATCTAGCCTTCAATTTTATTCGGCCAAATTTCTCAAGAAAGAAAAGTGAATAGCAGGAAGTACGAGTCAGGAAAAATCTTTCAGAGCCTATGGCGTTTTGGACCTCCATGGAAACATACACATCTAGCAGGAACTACAAAGCTTTCATGTATTTGCTGCAATTGCGTGTTTCGTAATTTTGCCAAAAATCGAAGCCTCCAAATAATTGTTTGAAGCTACAGCAGATTGGGAGAATCTAGAAATATAGCCTCGTAGTCCGAGAATTGCTATATTTGATATATGTATGATTAACTCTTTCCGAAATTTTGGAATGAAATTTTCAAAAATTAGCCTAACTTTGAGCAGATCAAATTGATGGGTGGAGAGTTTTGGCGATTATAAAAAAAGCATACAAGATTTTTTTTAAAAATGTGTCATTGAGAAAGAGAAGGAAGAGCTGCATCGAATGCGCGTTAAAACTCATTTAGATCTGTATTGTGCAGGTTTTACAGTGGTTTGAAAAAACGGTCAGAACTTTCAGGAAAACCTAATATTGGCTTGAACCGAAAGTAATGTCGCTCTGATTTCAAAAAAGTGCATTTCGATTTTAAAAAAGTAAATGAAGTCAATGTATCTTATTCAGAGCACTCCCAGAGTTCCGCCGGTTACCTGCGGAAGTTCTGCAAACGTGCTGCGAAAGTTCTCGAATGAGGAGAATGTCACAACAGCAAAGAAACCCCCCCCCCCAAAAAGATTCTAATATTGATTTATTGACTGCAAGCTCACTTACTATCCTCTGCACTACGAATGACTCGCTCGACTTTGCACTCTAGCTGTTGGCGAGACATTACCGTTGAGCAGGCCAAAGTGCTGCGGAACCGCTGGCATCAAATTTTTTGCAGCGTTTTGTAACAAGTCCAAGAAAGCTCCCGCTATCAACCAGTTTGACATGAGAATCCTGCGGAGGTGCTCAGTCTCGATGTTTCCACTTTTGTGATGGTAACAGAATGCTGCGGAATCGCTGCAGATTTTGCTTGTGCTGCGAAAACGCGGGTGAATTGTTGGACTTGGAGTGCCACCAAAATTAGGCATCATGATTGTTGTTTGCATCAGGAAATTGTCGAGCAATTACAAGCTGAAGAGGCACAACTGTAAGAAAATGGTATGGTAAGGTAGGCAAGGAGGGTGTCTTTAGCGAGAATATGAGAATCTGGGAGTAAGTCGAAAATCAAGAGAAAAATGAGCCCTTACTCATTGAATTAACATATGAGCTCTTACTGTTGAGCGAGCGAAAAAAAAGAAAAGAAACGAAGAGCTAACCGGGAAAACTCAGTTTTACTAAAAGTGATATTCACATAGGCTAAAGAAGGAGTCATGGGTTTTTCATAGACACCACATTCAACTGTCCGCTACGCATTTTCTTTCCAGTGAGTATCGCATCAGTTCCAGCTCACGATTCACTGAAACTTTCGCAGGACAAGCAAAATTAGCAGCGGTGTCGGTTTCGCAGGATTTTGTTTACCATTTCAGTGGAAACATTGAAAATTTGAACTTCCGCAGAATTTTCACTTCAGAGTGGTTGATAACGGAAGCTTCCGTAGGGCTTTTCACAAAACGCTGCGATACTTCCGAAGAAGCCAGCGGTTTCGCCTTACTTTGACCTGCCAGTACCGAAGGTTTTTGAATGTGTTGTCTCTTATGATGTTGCCTCGCCAACAATTAAAGTGCATGGTCCATGTCACTCGCAGTGCAGAGGATAATGAGCGAGTCTCGCACTTGATTGTGCAAGGATGATATCTCGCTTAAGTGTCCTCTTTTGCTATTGTGGTTCGCATTCTTTGGAACTTCCGCAGCATGCTTACGGAACTCCCATAGAAAACCCGGCGGAACCTTCCCAGACGTTCAGCGGAAGTTCCGGACAGCTATCTGATGAAAAAACACATGCTTAACACATAACTTGTTATCAAGCTCAGAATGCTGAAAGCATTATCAGGTGTTTGAGTTCTATTGAAGAGTGAAACTTTTTGTTGGTAATCTTTCTTTTTGCAGTTTGTTTTTGACCAAAAAAGTCTTAAAACAAGCCTTAAACAGCGAAATTTCTAGAAGATGTCGTACTTACGTGCAACATGATGGACAGATCTGTCGTTGTTTCGGATACTTCTTGGTAGAAACTACAGCGAAGCAACGGAAAAAAAGAAATACTCGATTTTTAGAGAGCATAACGTTTTTTGTCAAAAAAAACTGTCTGAAAGACGTACTTTCTGTGCTCAAATTTTCATTTGTCACGAAAATGCATTTGTCCAGTTGCACTTAAGTTTTAGTGTTAGAAGAATAATGGTAATTTAGGCAAATTTGGTCGTAAAACAAGCAAATTTTTGCCATAAACCGTTGAGTGCACTTTTCATAATTTTTATTGAAGATTTATTTATTTTTTCTACAGAATTCGCACCATACCGTCAACGCGCATATTTTATCTTAATGTGTATATTGGTATAAAAAGATGGTGCTTCCAGCTTAACATCACACTTCGGTTTTCATTTCAAAAATCAGTCCTTACTTTAGTAAACATGGTATCTGGGGAGTTTACTCTACATTGCGCGCCTCCACTTCTTAGAATCAAAAAAAACTTTTCTAAGAGTGCGACTTAGGTTTTAGAATTCAATGTTGACATTTTTGCCTAGAAATTCGTAGACTTGACAATTACGCTAAGCGCGAAACACCTAAAAGAGGTGCGGTTTTTAATCATTTCGCGAAATTCTTTTTTTAACATGTGACCGAATATTCATCATGGTTTTTTTTGCTAGGACGATATCTGGAAGCAAGTAGTTAAATGTCTTCTTCTCTCTTATTACACTGCTCTTAGAATGTTTTAATAGCCTTTACAGAGCGGCTAGTGTCACAAAAGTAAGAAGTTTCAAAGTTTTGTTGAAGATGTAAGTATTTTTGATTTTGATACAAAATAAAGAAGACGTGCCAACGGGGGTTAAAAGAAATTTTTAAACGTTATCAAATTTTGCAAATCAGTCCGTGATGACGTTTAAATAATTGACGTTTAAATAATATAGTATAATTAATGTTCCAAACGCAGTTTTTCCTCCCTTCAAGCGATAATGGTTCTAGTACATTAAATCTACATAATTTGATAACATCACGTATCAAATTCAACAGCATCAATTTTGAACCTTTACATTCCTGGCGCTCTATACCTGTGGTAATGTACTTAAGCTGTCTACAATAGCTAAGACCGCATTGCTCCTATAAACTCTCTTTCAGGCAATGATAAAGGTGCGCAGCTAAAGCAAAGCTTATCTTATCTAAATCATAAAACTCTGAATAATGTTTTTGTTGAAAATCCTGATAAGTAGAGCGCTAAATTGCACGGAGGTTAGAAAAAAACCAAAAATGTAAAATTATGAGTTCTTCGAACTATTCTTATATACCTTAGAAGTGTATAAACAAATGGCAAGGCTTTTTACAATGAAACTTTCTTTCAACAGACCTCCACTTAAGCAATAAAAATACCACTTTGTGAAAATCTCATTTGAAAATTGTACAAAAATAAAGTAAAAAGAACAATAGATGGTCTACTGATTACCATTTTACTCAGCTCCATCCTTTTCTTGATTTCTAGCGAGTTTTCAGCTTCTGCTGCGCTCATATATGAGACATTTTCAAAGTCAATGCTGCTCTACCTAACCAATAATGTGTTGATTTTTGGGGCGAACTCGCACTTTTCGATTTCGTCAATCTAAATGCAGTTTCTTTCAGGATGAAGTGCATTGTGCTGCTATTCTTCTTGTCCCTGCTGAGCCTGGACATGGCTTTGCGTAGGGAACCTCCTAGGGAAGAGCGTCGTACGAGAGAAGGTCGTCCGGGAAAAGGTCGTATGGAGGAACGTCGTACGGGTGTGCTCGAAACACCTGGCTTCGGTTCTAAAGACAGGGGATCTTTCCGAGACAATAGGCATATTCCTGGCTTCGGTTCTAAAGACAGGGGATCTTTCCGCGACAATAGGAATATTCCTGGCTTCGGTTCTAAAGACAGGGGATCTTTCCGCGACAATAGGAATATTCCTGGCTTCGGTTCTAAACACAGGGGACCTTTCCGCGACAGTAGGAATATTCCACATGGCATGGATCGCATGACAATTGGCCGAACAAGTGGACACCATGCGATGGAGCGCGGGAGGGAAAATTTCGGTGATAGGCAACTCATCAAGGGCAAATATTCCGGTCGTACAAAGTAAGTTTGATAGAACTTGATAGCATAAGTCTTTTTGAATACAAGACATAATAAACTGCAGCATTTTGGGTGTGTGAAAATAATCAAGATAGGAAGAGTCCTCCTGTTTACTTGCATGCTTCGAAAACTCTATAGCTTATCTTCCTTAAAATGAAGGTTACAGATTTTGCAAATGCATACTTGCGTGATCTAGAGTTGATTGTACATCGTCTATGAAAGAAATCAAATTACAGTAGTAGTGGCCGTTAAGGTACTAGCATATCTTGACAAAAAAACGTTTGGAGGATCATGCCTGCAAAACTTGAAAGTTAATTGAACACATTCGCTGTTTGTCTTTTCATCGCAAAAACCTTTCACTTGATTATGAAACTTGCTGCGTTTTTTTTTTGAGAAACTGATTGAAGAAGAGGAGAAACCGCTGAAAGACAACATTATGAGTTTCAAAATGCAAACGATTGTAGAGATCATTTGCAAATCATTTTGAGACTTACTCTTCCCTCTTAATGCTACAATCAAATGGAAGCTTTGAGTGTTAGTATGGTATTGTCTCTTCTTAGCCGATGACCAAAATGATTTGTTTGAAACTGACAGCCTAAAAACCAGTGCTTTAAGTCAATCCATTGTGGAATAAGCAAATATTCACTTTTTCTAAGCTTCTATCAATGTGTGAAATCGGTTCTCATGAAACTTTCATCAAAAAATTCATCAATGCTCAATTAGCTTTGTAGGATGTCTAAATGATTAGGAAGTAATGTAAAAGTGATAGATAGATTCTTATTGCATACAAGTCAATGATAATAAACAGTGTAAAGGATATTAACAATTTTTCTTACCACCTTCTCAGCGAAGACCATCTTTTTCAGCCAGAACAGTGGTAGACTTGGACCGACAGGTGCAGCGTTAGCGGCGGCCGCTGTGTTAACGAAAAGACTCGAAAAGCCGATCGAAAAGGCTGTAAAACTTGGCTATATTCATCCTCGATCCTAATGTGACATCGGATAAATCATTTTTAGTAAATTTTTATGTTTTACATGTGACTTTCATAAAGCATTCTACATGTTCTCGATGCAAAAGAAGGTGAACAGAAGCAAAATTAATGTGTTTTCTATTAAATGCGTTTGCTATAAAATCTTCTTCTTTTATCCGTGTTAATTCTTCAGTGATTTAGAAATCTTCCTTGCTCTTGCTATAGAGACTCAATGTAAACCACATCGCTGATTAAGCCGGTGAAATTCGGTATTGCAAAAAAATTGTCAGTTTTTGAATGCAAAATCCAAAAATTAGCAGTCAGTGGAGAAATCTACTTTTGCTGCAAAGTGTAAGAAAAGTTTTCAGGATCTTTGTCAAAACAAAATGCGATGGTGTACTACGGAACGAGCGGTGTAGTGGTATGAGGAGCCGCTGTGACCAGGTCGGACCAAGGGTCGATTCCGCCCGTGGGCTAGCCAGGCCCTCTTATTTTCTGGACTGGTAATTTGGTTTCAGAGTAATTTGGAAGAATAAAAGCATTGACCTGGTACGGTTGGCCTCGACACAATTTCTCGACAATTGTAGGCTCGTAGGCATTCAGTAGCCTTTTCGACTACGAAGTAAAGCGCGTCTGCGCATGCGCAAGGAGTATAGAAGACGCTGAGAACCTTTATTATTTCTAAACATTACTCCTGAGGGTGGCTTTTTTCCGAAGGTTCTGCATATTGGTTCGAACAAGTGGAACAGTTTTGTCGAAGCTGAGACACAGAGTCGCAATAGACCCTCTACGCCAAAAAAGTACAAAGTACTGTAGAAAGTACTGTCTTGTTAGGAAAAGATTTCTAGCTTTGCTAGCGCATTTCCTGCTTCCGGTCTAAGCTATAGCTTCATACTTAAGCTAGCATGGCCGAAAGCTATCCATCTTTACATGACACTGAAAATCCACCGCCTCAAATCTGCTTTGAAGGCAGTGGCTCGGCAAATCTCAACCTAGTCAAATTTGCGCTTACCTGGGGTTATTCAATACGCTGATCCCGAAAATCCACTTTTTAAAGCTTGAAAACGGCGAAAACAAGCGTTTTAATGCTCTTCCCTTTGGAATTGGACGAGTGGAGCAAGGCCGATGACGCTAAATCGCTGCAGGACCCAATGGTTATAGCGTTGCGGCGGGCAGCCTCCAATGGTAAGAAGGAAGTTGCCAACTCGTGGGAGCGTGTAAGTTTGGCCTGCGCGTGTAAGCTCGAGAGCGATTTTCTCGGCAGCGAAAGCATGCTGTGCGACCGGGATTGCACTGTACACTTGGGCGATAAGGATGCGGCGTTAAAATCCTGAGTTGTTGGATTTTACCGATCCATTGCCTTCAACTCGCTTTCAAACAGAAGAAATGAGGGGGGAGGGGAGGGTGGAGGACAAAATTTCTTCATTAGAAGTGCTCGTTAGTTTCTTCGAGAAAATTTTGGACTGCTTTTTGAATTTTCTGGGGTTTGAAATTTAAGAAACATAAAGTGTTATTTGCACATTTTCATAACTCCTGCAAGTAACAACCCATTTTTGGAAGGGGGAAAGTAATTTATGCCCTCTCCTCAGTCCGCCGCAGCTTTAGGTGTAAGAATTCTAACGCGGATTTTATACCACAGTAGTGTAAGAATGACGAGCCAACGTCTACTTTATACCGTGTGCCCTAGCTTATAAGTTATACTAGTAGCTCAGTTGAGCAATACGCTCGAAAATCTAGAAATGGAGAGGCGTCGCCTCAAATTTTAATCTTGTTAACCACAGAGCCTCTAAAATGTCTCCGTCAGTGGTAGATCCATCATTTTAAGGCTATTTTGTTGTTACCGTTTCCGAGTTGGCTTTTCTTACTTAGAAATTTTTTCACTTTTCATACCTAATCTCCCAGCATTTTGAATACTTCGTAACATTACTAAAACGGCCTCATATTCTTCCCTTCTCTCTATGAGTCGATGAATCTAAATTTATTAGAAGTTCCAAATATGAGCGCACTTCAGAAGTGAAAAGTACCTGTTTATCTAGTGTTTTAATTACGTATAATTTATACCTAAAAAGAAACTTGCTATGAATCAGTTAGAGCATAAAGCCATTCGAACTTTTGTAATTCTATGAATGGGGCGCTCAGATGAAAAGAGTGTTGCAATACGACAGAGCATTAAACGAGCACAATTGAGTAGCGATTTCATTTTGGTAAACGTTCCGAGCGATAATCTAAAGAAACGGCTTGTACGAAACAGGCTCTATGACAAATACTGCATCGCGAAAGAGTGCGTAATTTGTCCTTATAACAGCATCGGAGATTGCGCTAAAACAGGAGTGATAATATCAGTTAGAGTGTTTAGTTTGTGGTGCTAGTTATATAGGAGAAACCGGAAGAGCACTTAGCGTGAGGATCTAAGAACATCTTGCCAATAAACGTAAGGGTAGTCTGGTTTCTCCTCTCGGGAAACATAAGCATGAATATCATTGCGACCAAGACTACGAAGTCAAATGTACAATTTTGGCATACGAGAAAGATACTTCTGCCCGGAAACCTCTCGAAGCATTTTGGATCACGCGCAAAAAAATACCGCTTATGAACAACAAGAACGAGTACTTAGCCGTTACGGAGGACTTCAGCCGTTTTTATCATTATGTGGGCTATGATAGGGTAGTGCGATAATTTCACCTACGATATGCCACCAAATGTGACTTATTGTCACTACTGTCATCAAGGATATGGTCGCAACATAACATCAAGTGCACCGGCGGTGAAGCAAAGGTGTGTTCGTCTCTCTCATCCTGCGATTTTTGCTTGTCAAACTCTAGAAGTGGAAACGTCGGGATTGAGTACCTCCGCAGGATTCTCATATCAGACTGGTTGAAAACGAGAGCTTTCTTGGAAACTTCTAAGCAATTTCTGATAAGACAACGCTGAGTAAATCTAATCTCACCTCGATTCATCATTCTCGGATTCCATTTCAATTTTCTGAAAATATGATATTCTTTTCTAAACGTGATTTCGGTTACCTATACTGTATATATTTTTTGTGACAAAAAACGAGACGCTTTTTCTCTTTTTGTCTTTCGTTTCTGTTTAACTTCCGAATCAAACATAAATTTAGTGTTATCAAGTATCCAGTAGTCTTTAGCACAATTCAGAGCTTGCGTGGCAATCAGGAAAATCCCACCGCCGTCCCTTTCATACTCAGCAGTCATGGAGTCAAAGTCAAAAGATGAATTCGAAAGGCTCCAATCTTGCTGCCATCGTACCATTTCCTTCTTATGACTGACTCACGAGCACATTTACCAAATAAAGTGGTCATTTGTATACGTACTAATTTTGTTAATTTGAAGATCTTTGGGCAAATAATGCTTTAACTTGAATTCAAGTTAGTATTGCTTGGCCAACACGAGGTTTGGGTGAAGCTTTATTATCATCAGTGGCCTAACGTTTCGACCTACTCGTCGTCATCAGAGGCCTGAAGCGATGCGGGATTAGTGATCTTATGTCTGCCCCATCAAATGCTTTATCAACCCTCGGCTAGCTTCTCGATTCCGATGGTAACAGAGTCCTGCGGAATCGCTGCAGATTTTGCTTCTGCTGCGAAATCGCCGGTGAATGGTGTACCGCCAAATTTAGGCATAGTGGTCATTGTTTGCTTCAGCGGAATTGTCGAGCGATTTCAAGCTGAAGAGGCACAACTGTTAGAAAATGGTATGGTAAGGTACAATGCAAGGAGGATGCCTTTAGCGAGAATATGAGAATCTGGGAGTGAGTGCAAGTTAAGAGAAAATTGAGCCTTTGATCATTAAATTAACATACTCAGCTCTTACTGTTGAGGAGCTGAAAGGAAGAAAAGAAGCGAAGAGCTAAAAGGCAAAACTTAGTTTTACTAAAGGTAATATTCACATAGGCTAAAAAAGGAGTTATGGGTTACTTCATAGACACCACATTCAACTGTCCGACTACGCATTTGCTTTCCAGTGAGTATCGCATCAGTTCCAGCTCACGATTCACCGGAACTTTCGCAGGACAAGCACAATTAGCAGCGGTGTCGGTTTCGCAGGAATTTGTTTACTACTTGTTGAAACGTTGAAATTGGGAACTTTCGCAGAATTTTCACGTCAGAGTGGTTGATAACGGGAGCTTCCGTAAGGCTTTTTACAAAACGCTGCGGGACTTCCAAAAAAGCCAGCGGTTCCGCCGCACTTTGACCTGTCAGTGCTTTCGAAGGTTTCTGAATGTGTTGTCTCTTATGATGTCTCGCCAACGACTAGAGTGATTGCCGAAAATGCCACCCGTAGTGCAGAGGAGAGTGAGCGAGTCTCACACTCAATAGAGCAATGTTGGTATCTCGCTTGGGTGCTCTCTTTTGCTGTTGTGGTTCGCATTCTCTGGAACTTCCGCAGCACGCTTACGGAAATCCCATAGAGAACCCGGCGGAACCTTCCCAGACGTTCAGCGGAAGTTCGGACAGTTGCCTGACGAAAAAACACATGAACGTTTGAACTTATTATCAAGCTCATAATGCTGTAAGCATTATAGGTGTGTGAGTTTAACTGTAAAGTGAAACTTTTCGTTGGCATTCTTTCCTATCGCAGTTTGTTCTGAACCAATCTCATAACGAGCCTTAAAAGCGAAATTTCCAGATCTCATACATGCGTGCAGCACGATGGACAAATAATTCGTTGTTTTGGATACTTCTAAGGTAAGACTGCAGGGAAGCAACGGAAAAAAGAAAACTCGATTTCTAGGGAGCAAAAAGTTTTTTGTCATAAAAACTGTCTGAAAGACGTACTTTCTGCGCTCAAATTTTCATTTGTCACGAAAATGCATTTGTCCAATCGCACTTAAGTTTTAGGGTTAGAGTATTAATGGCAATTTAGGCAAATTTGGTCGTGAAACATCAGGCAAATCTTTGCCATAAACAGTTGAGCGCACTTTTCATAATTTTTATTGAAGATTTATTTATTTTTTCTACAGAATTCACACCATCCGTCAACGCGCATACTTTATCTTAATGTGTATATTGGTTTAAAAGGATGGTGCTTCCAGCTTAACATCACACTTCGGTTTTCATCTCAGAAAATTAGTCCTTACTTTAGTAAACATGGTATCCGGGGAGTTTACCCTACACTGCGCGCCTCCACTTCTTAGAATCAAAAAAAAAAAAACTTTTCTAAGAGTGCGACTTAGGTTTTAGAGTTCAATGTTGACATTTTTGCCCAAAAATTCGTAGACTCGACATTTATGCCAAACATGAGATTTCCAAAAGAGGCGAGGTTTTGAGGCATTTCGCGAAATACTATGTTTAACGTTATCTGACCGAATATGCGTCATGTTTCCTTTGCTAGGACGATATCCGGAAGCGAGTAGTTAAATATCTTCTTCTCTCTTATTACACCGCTCTTAGAATGTTTTTAATAGCCTTTACAGAGCGGCTAATTTCACAAAAGTGAGGAGTTTCAAAGTTCATTGAAAATGTGAGTATTTTTGATTCTGATGCAAAATAAAGCAGACGTGCCAACGTGCTCCAAAAGAGATTTTTTAACGTTATCAAATTTTGCAAATTAACCCCTGACGTTCAATTAACAGTGCATAATTGAAGTTCCAAACGTAATTTTGTTTCCTTGCGCTACTGGTTGTAATCTATCATATCTAGATAATTCGATCACATCGCATATCAAATTGAAAAAATCCATTTCGAGTTTACAGTTTTAGCTCTCGGCAGAATTTCGTCTTCCAGATTTTCACCTTTTCGGAGCCTCCTTGACATAAGGAATCCCATATCTGGGCTTTTCAGCGAGGCGGTGTGCATAGATTTCAGGCGTATCTTCACCAAATGCGGACGGAAAGCTTTGGATAAAGCTTATTTTCGCTATTTTCACGCGCTGAAAAGCCCAGATATGGATTCTTTGTGGCGAAAAAGCTCCGAAAATTTGAGTATCTGAAAAACGAAATTTTGAGGAGGCACTGCCTTTGCGCATCAAAATCAAAGAAGTAAACATAAAGTTGAAGCTTTCGCTCTAAGGTCTTAGTGTAGTGTTCTCTAGTTATCTACTAGAACTTCACGCTTTTGAAACTTCTTTTTCAGGCGAAGACAAAGGTGCGCGAAGGAAGCAAAGCTTATTCTATCTAAATCATAAAACTGCTGAATGAATAATGCTTTTGCTAAAAACTTCTTCTGATAAGTAGAGTGCAAAATCGCATGGAACTCAGAACTTGAAAAACCGAAAATAAAAATCATGAGTTCTTCGAATGAACAGTTCTTATAGTACCTTAGAAGTGTGTAAACAAATGGCAAGCCTTTTTACAATGAGACCTTCTTCCAAAAACTCCACCTAAGCAATGAAAATACCAGGTAGAATTCGCTCAGCATTTGCAGACTTTGTGAGTCTCATTTGAACAGTTCTCATTATTCTCATTGTTCGAGAAAAAGAACAATAGATGATCTACTGAATACCACCTTACTCAGCTCCATCCCTTCCTTGATTCCTAGCAAGTTTTTAGCTTTTGCTTACGCTCTCATAGGAGACGTTTTCGATTTCAATGGTGCTCTACTAACCAATAATGTGTTGATTTCTGGGTCAAACTCTCATTTTTCGATTTTGCCAATTCAAATGCAGTTTATTCCAGGATGATGTGCATTGTATTGCTATTCTTCTTGTCCCTACTGAGCTTGGACATGGCTCTGCGTGGAGAACCTCGTAGGAACGAGCGTCTTACGAGAGAACTTCATCCAGAATTATCTAGGGAAGAGCGTCGTACGAGAGAACTTCGTCCAGAATTTCCTAGAAAAGGTACGAGAGATGGTCGTCCGGGAAAAAGTCGTACGGAGGAACGTCGTACGGGTGTGCTCGGAACACCTGGCTTCGGTTTTAAAGACAGGGGATCTTCCCGCGACAATAAGAATATTCCACATGGCATGGATCGCATGACAATTGGTCGAACAAGTGGACACCATGCGATGGAGCGCGGGAGGGAAAATTTCGGTGATAGGCAACTCATCAAGGGCAAATATTCCAGTCGTACAAAGTAAGTTTGGTAGAACTTGATAGCGTAAGTCTTTGTGAATACAGGACATAATAAATTGCAGTATTTTGGGTGTGTGAAAATAATCAAGATAGGAAGAGCCCTCCTGTTAAGTTGTATGCTTCGAAACTCTATCGCTTATCTTAATCAAATTGAGGTTACATATTTTGAAATGTGCATTCATTGCGCGATCTAGAGTTGATTGTAGATCGTCTATGAAAGAAATGAAATTACAGTGATGGCCATTAAAGTACAAGCATATTTTTACGCTATATGCTTCACCACATTTACAAGATTTAGAAGCTAACACACACTTACTGTTTGCTTATGATCAAAAAATTGACTTGATTATGAGAATTGCTGTGTTCTACTAAGAGTGGAAACTGAATTTTAAGGAGCAGGAGAAATCGCTGAAAGACAACACATAAGATTCAAATGCACTTGTAGTATTTTCAATCTGATTTGAAACATACTTCTCCCTTTTAATGCTACAATTAGAGTGAAAGCTGTGAGTGTAAGCACGGTATCGCTTCATTTCCATATCGCTTTCAATGAGAATAATCTTATTTCATGTTTTTAGATACCAAGCCCCTGAAGTAGGAGGACATGTGAAAGTCGGGGACAAATGGTAAGTCTAGCCACGAATACGACTTCATCAGAAAAAGCTATTTTTCTCAGGGTGGACAAGGACCTTTGGAAAAAAAATCATCAGTTGGTTTTAAGCCAGTTGAAAGTGACGCTGGGACTTGACAGGATGACAACAAAGTCGACGGACAAGATAACAAAAAAGCCTTGGGGGTAGGTTATACCGAATGCTATCCCAACAATTTCAATATCACAAACTTTCACAGACGTAGAAGAAGTCACTGAAGTGCGCATACTATACTTCCTAACATCCTTAACCGTAATGATGTGACACTGGATAATTCATTTTTTTCAAAAATAAATCCCTTGCCTCGCATGTGTGATTTCAATAAAGCTTTTGGCCTGCTTTTGGTGCAACTGAGTGAAAAAGCAAAAAACAATGAGTTTCCTATTGTGACTGCAATTTTGTAAATCTTCTTTGTTCTTGCTGTGCAGACTCATTCTGGACCACTTCACTGATTAAGCTTGTTGTGCATCACTGAGGAGCTCGCTGTGAAAGAGTAAAGTATTGCAGAGAGGGTTGAGGTCGCCAATCTCCGAAAGCAAAATTTGAATTTTGCAACAATGTTGAAAAATACATCTTAGGCTGTATATTATATGAAACGTGGACAGGACGTCAAAACAATGTGATTGTGTAATACTTGTTCAGTGCTAGCACCCAACTTTGGCTCAAATCAATTGTTAGTCGCACAAACAGCAAATTTTGGTTATCTCATGCATTAAAATTCGACTTTGGGCGATACGTGGATCCATTAGGAGAAGATTTCCAGCTTTGCTAGCGCATATCCCGCTTCCCGTCTAACGGGCTGTACGAGCCGCGTTTTCCAGCTTTTTGTGTGATCCCCTAATGATCCTCGGTGAACGATCGATCATTCATCAAAGTCATTTCTCTTCCTTCAAAGTTAATGAAAACATTCCAAAGTTGCACTGATTGTTTATCCCAACAGTGCTAACATATTGCTGATGAGAACAAATGAGTTTCTGAAATATCGAAATTTTCTACAAACCCCAACTTTCGACCTGTGGCTCATCGAAAATTTCATGACTCCAAAACATGTGTTCTTGACAGCAACATGCTTAGCATTGTTGGATTAGATAAGCAGTACAACTTTGCAATGGCTTCAAAGAGTAGAAGGTCGTCTCGCGGGCATCACCAGGGGATCATACAAAATGCTGGAAAATGCAGGTTTTATAGCTTCTCGCTTCTGTTCAACATGTTCATAGTGAAGGATGGTAGGAATACTTACTAAAAGGTAGGCAGCGTGAAATCCAGATATCTGGAGCTTCAGGATATGAAGCTTTCTTTCGAATCAATCCCCTCCCCAGCGGGATGTTAATGCATGCGGCGGCTCTTAGGCGCTAACGTGGTCGGAAACTATCCATCTTCATATGCAATAAGATTCCACCACCCCAAGTTCGCACTAACTCGCTTTCACAGAGGGAACGGTAGAGGGACGAGACGTTTCTTCTTGGATGTACGTGCTTAGTTATTTTCTCTGAAAAATTTTTTGGGCCGCTTCCAAACTTTTTTTATTTAGAAATTTTAGGTTTAAAAAGAAGTCATAGACATGCTTGTATAACACATGTAAGTAACGACCCGATCTTGGGAGGGAGGTGGGGAGAGGTTGTGTCCTTTCCTCCCACTCCTCGACCTAATCTTTCTGCATTTTGAAAACTTCGTGCCATTACAAAACGGCCTCATAACCTTCCCATCTCTTTTTATAGTGGATAATTCAAAACAGAAGTTGCAAATGTAAGCGCGCTTCATGAAGTGAAAAGTACTTATCTAGGTTTTAGACTACATATAAATCTTAACAGAGAGTTTATATAATCAACGGAGCATAACTCCATTCATACCTTCGCGATTTTATAGATGGAGGCTGGAGAGTGATATTTGAGTCGCTGCTCTCGTAGAATGTGAAAGTTGTTTGAGAGAAAAGAAAAACACATAAGTATAAACTCGAAAATTTGAGGAACAGAGAAATATTGAGATTTCAAATCTGCCCCGGTATTTTGCTATGCTTGATTGTCGTATCAGTTAGTTCAGTTTATCTTTTTTTATATTCTCAACAACTTTCACTTTCTACGAAGGCAGCGAGTCGAACTTACATCACCTCTCAGTCTCCAGCTTTAAAATCAGATCCAGGCACGAGGAGGAAAATGTCAAGCTGAAATAGGTCTATGTGAAAAAAGCAAAGGGTTTGTCGTCATCATACGTTGGTATGCACCACGTACCCTTCGGACAATAATCAGAACCGTGAAGATCAGATTTTCACATGATTGACGTCCAAAAAGATCGTGTTCAAGAATACAAATATAGGCCTTACGAAACCGAATTGCCCGCGCCGTGCCTTGGGCAACGTGAGGGAGCTGTCGCCGCGAACGACTGTAGGCGTTCGTTGTTTTTTAAAAAAATTTCTCGTCAAATTCCGTGTGGTTTTCAACAATGTGGACCATATTTTGACGAAAACTTCCTCCAGAAGCTTATAAAAATATGCGAGGAAGCAGCTCTCGCTCACTGTTGTAACAAGACTGTAGCGCTACAGGGCTCAACGTTTCCAGCCGCCCCGCGCGTTGGTGTTCAATGCGGCGCGTGGGCAAGTGGATTTTAAAAGGCCTATAAATCTATTACTGCGCACGCATGGGTAGAGGACTATATGTCGCCGAAGGGAAGCGGGGGGCCCCCGCGATCATTTGCAACAAAAGTGCATCCTTGCTCATGCATGCAGGTGCTTTTTTGGAAAGTCCGCGCAGGACCTACCCACATTCGAGGACATACAGTTCTTCAAACCGCACAAAGAGGCTTCATGTTAGGAGTCACGCCGCGCACGTCGCATGTGAATTTTGAGAGCTTAAATGGACGAGTGCGCGGCGACATGAAGTAGAGGAATGTGAAACATCTTTTCCGAAACAATTTTTCTGAGCGCAACAAAAACTGTTGTAAACAGCAAACTTTTAGCTATACAGCATATACTTTTGCGTAACTGCTCACCACAGGAAAGATTTTGCGGCGTAAAATTTATCAAGAAATTTTTCTGGAAAACTCTAGTTTGAGGGAGCATAAATTACTCTTAAAAGGAATAGGTTGGAGCAAACTTTGCTGTGTAGCCGATGGTAGATTCAGTTGTAGCGTGGAACTTGGGTCTTACCAAAAATTTTCTGCGAAAAAAAATATGCCAGAAAAACAAAAGTACCATTTTTTCTTGCATTTTAGAATAGGCAAAAACTGCATTTTTTTGATTCCTCCAGCTTTTTCTCGTTTGAAAAATGAAACGATTGTGCCGTTTTCCTATCATTAGTAGTCCTTGGCCTACTCTACCAGAACCAAGTGAAAGTTCTGTAATTATGTCTTACGTAAGAATTTTATAAAGCTCCGAGTGATCCCAGGATTCAGCCAAGTTTGAGTCAAAGCTTCTCGGCTCGGGATTTTTGAAAATTTTAGCCTTTTGAGCATTTTGTAGCACAAATCTTCGCGATTATAACACACATTTTTGAAACAAATTTGAGCGCTTTTCATGGATTTCGGGCAAGTCGAATGAAAGGGAAAAATTTCAAGTTTGAGTTCCTCACCTTTGAAGGCACGGAACTTCGGTCTGAACAAAGATCTCCGAAAACAAAAGCACATATCAGATAGAAGAAACGGGCTTTCCGATAATTTATATGATAGAGAAAAATAATTTTTGATTGAAAACTAGCGTTTGAAAGAAGAGGTAGGAAAAACGTGCATTAATTATGAACCAACCTAATATATCTTCTTGGTGTCACATTTTTACAAATTCGCCTAACTTTGAATTCCTCTTGCATCAAAGTTTAATGTTGAAACTATATGTCGCAAAAAACTTCCACTCTCAATGACTCTCCATCTTTTAAAAGTTGTCATCAGATTGTTTCTAACATATCCTACTGCTCTCCCTGATACCACATGTTAGTTGCTCCCTTTGTTTGATCACAGTTTTTTTCATTTAGGGCTGAATTTACAAAGTGTGCTTGTAGTTGCTCACGTTATGGTTATTCCTTTGCTGCAACTTCTGCCAAATCATCGTGAATTGTAACTGTTTCGCTTGTTTTGAAAACATGTGGCTCTCCCACTATGGAATTACTGTCTTGTGTGCATCATCGTTTGAAACCTAGGTGCTCAAGAACGCGTATTTATGTATGGCTAACAAGTGACCACTCTTGCTGGACCCCTTGAACGATTTATCCTCGCAGCGAAAGAAGCAACAAGTTGAGACTATCAGACAAGATGTTAAAAACCTTTCTTAACGCACTAGAACATTTCTTTCGATAGTTTCTAGTGTTCTCGAACAACTTACTCGAATAACTTAAGGGAAGCGTCTTTAGTCGAAGTGGCCCTTTCTTATGGCATTTACATCAGTTTGTAGAACATTGAAGGCGATTCCAAATCCGTCTTCCATATCTGCCAAGCGCCTCTGAATGCCGAGTTATGGGCGTTTTTGAGTGGAAAACTGAATGCACAACTGGAACAAAGTCGTCCAAGACTACTCAGATGGTCGGGTGCCTACTATCAGAGCACTTCATTCAATGAGTACCTTCTGTCCAATACCCTTATTTTCAACAGTACTCTATATGAGCGCAGGAAATATCGTAATTACTGTTTTTACATAGATTCTGCGTTTATTTTTTGCTCCAAAGAACATTCATAACTCGGCGCCCAAGGGCGCTTGGCAGATATTGAAAGCAGATTTGGAGTAGCGTTTAAAGCTCTTCAAAGTATAATTGAATCATTTGGAAAGGCCACTTCGACTAAAGACGCTTCCCTTGTTAGCTCCATGATGGGTGGTATCTATGATTACGATCATTTGAAGCAAGTGTCAGAGAATGAATGTCTGTTTGGTTTAAGTGGATTTTGTGCGTGGGAGTGGAGCTAATGGATTGCTGATGAGTGACGGAAAAATGCTTGTTAGAGTTAGAGCATGGAGCGTTCGAAGGGGGCAAATATCAAATGGAAGTTACATTCGCCATTTAGCAACAAACGACTGTGAGTCTGTTGCAGTCTAAAAACTATATATATAACAGTATCCTAGACCTTCGTTATGACACTTGGGTATGTTATGGAAGGATTCCGCCAGTGCATGTCTGATCACGTGCAATTTGAAAAAACCCGTGATTTCTTCCATTCAATACATTTCATAATCTCTTTAGTTTAAACGCCTTCTCTGCAAGGTATGAGCACGATTTAATTTCAACTGCAAGTTCGGCGCCCGAAGACGCTTCTATGGGGAGTGACAAGCGAGTCAAAAAGGCACTCGCGACAATTCAGATACACAATAACGGGATCTCGAATGGCTTACGTATCAGAGGAGAAACGCTGATCACGACATCTTTGCTTGTAAAGGATGCAAAAAAGAAGGACATCACCTAACAATAAAGGTAAGTGTTTACATAAGCTGCATAAGCAATTTGCTACAGAGATGAGGTGTATAAATTTATGTTGATTAAAACGGTGTAAGCATCTATTAATTTGACTGGTACTTGTCGACTTACTTGATCGGGGATGAACTTACCAATGAACATGATCTCGAGCAGGATAATCTCGGTTCCGCTCCCTCTTCTCTTTCAGACCAAGCCGCTCATTATTTTGCTTGGGTTTAGATTTCAGATTATTGGGAGTGAAATATACACCAATCCCTATGCGGATCATGTCTGTACAACAGTAAACGGCTCTCGCGATCGTGTATGAAGTAATCAAGCAGCCATGACTTAGGATCAAGTAGCGAAATTCGTGTCATACAGACTTGTCAAAAAGTTCAAAATGATCCAGGTCTTCCTTGCAAACCAGTCCCGGAAATCTGGAAGGAAGCTCTGCAGCAGCCAATGAGTCGTAATGATGGATCTGACCCCAACCAAGTGGTGGCCCTCTCCTATAAAACTGGTTTGGAAGCTAGAAAAAGAAGTATAGAAAGGTCCACAACTTGACTTCGTTGTCAAATTTTTGGAAAAAATTTTTGTTTGCAGAGCCAAAATGACGCCCATTTCCAATGTAATGTGGGGTCATGCCCTTAAAGCTTTTGCATGTCTCCATGACGGAAGTCGATTGCTCGAGGAAAGGAATGCGATTTTCCAGCTGTATTTTCCAACAGCAACTATCAGGGTGCGTCAACAACTGCGTTTTAATGAAAGCAATATCTGAAGAGTATCTTGATCAGATCCGTCTGAGATTTACAGATGGCTTGCGAGAAAGGGCTATACACACTTGTCATGGACGGCGTTAAGATCTTTCTCACCCTCGAATGGCGCTACCCGATCTTTATGTTTCAGATCCCCTTTGCCTACGCATTCACTGGAAAGAAGAACCAGCAAACGTATGAGAGGATTTTTAACCCTCCGAAAGGAATCGCGTGCTACCGACACCACCTCATAGAGGATCGTCATAGATTTCGCAATCACAACGACCAAGGCAGCGGACTCAGACACTCGCGGTTGACTCGCGCAGGGGATCCGCCCACAAAATGGACGTTCGCGGCAAAATCCGGTGGACCGGCGCGAGTCATCATTTTAGTTTCGTCCGGATTTTGGTGCGATTTTGTCGCGACGGGCGAGGAGGTTTCGAAATAACGCACTTATACGTCGACGTATTGATCAATTCTTCCCTGCATTTGTTGCATTTGTTTTTTTTCTTAGATGAATCTATACTTAGCAAAGCATGTCTTTCCAGAGACGTTCCATGCCGATAAAAACCAGGCTTAGACCAAAGAGAATCAGCTTGAGACGGTCATTTCGAACACGTCCTTCTGATCACACGGCCATTATCTGCGTTGATCATCATCCGGAAGTAAAGGTGAACCCTTTTTCTCTCTTTCTAGAAGTTATATTTCATTCTTAGATTGTTTTGCTTGCTTACTTTAGCTGATTACTGGACTTTGAGTATTTATGCTAACGTGTACTATTTTGGTTTTCAAGCGCTTTTACGAAAACGAATGGGATGACGATTTTGCGTTGCGATCCCCGAAGCCAAGAAGGGAACGCCGACCTAAGCATAATCCTGTTCTTGAGGAGGTCGGAAGAGTTTCCGCATTATGATTACCATGATTCACCTATGTTATAAGCTCATTCCAGGATTTTATAGAAGAGGAAGAAGAGAATGTTAATGACAATGATGAAAGCCGCGAGAATGTCGATTCACAAGTGGACAGTGATCTTCCGGCCGTGCAAGAGCTGAATGAGAAGGCATGTTTTTATTTATGAAACTGAGAAAGTAATGTTCTTCTTTTGCGGTTGCTCATTTCTTAAAATGGTATGAGCTTACAAGACAGTCATTTTCGAAATTTTGGAGGTTATGCGATTTTTGAACTGCGGTTGCTTGTAATGCTTTTTCTGAACTTCTTAAAGCAGAGTTTTCATCACATGAAGAATGTCATCTACGGTTTAACTCTGTGCAAAAACTGGCATCAATATTGCCGGTTCCAGTTCCATATTATTTAGAGTGCACAATTCCAGTTCAAAATTTACCTGGCATAGCTCACATTTATCGTACCGCATCTCACGAGTTTAGAAAAATCACTCATTTGACTCTCGCCTTTTTTTTCAGTGATTTGTACTCAATTCGGAAGATGAAAGAGTTTATGCACATTGTTCATCCCGCACGTCATCATTCCTGACAGTTGGCTTAGCCGGAATTCGGAATTTACTTACAAGGGAAGGATCATCCATCAAAGTGGGGTTTCCACACATGATGCATATCATTCTGCTGCTCTTGGGGCCCTAATGCCAAATTCGTGATCCTTAGCTGCTCAATGATTTTCTGGGCAAAGTTATGAGCGATGGTTTACCCAAGATGCGGCTAAGGCTCGCATTGAGCTTGCGGCGCCAAGGGCATGCAGATGTGGACGGGTGGTCGAGTGGATACCTGCGGAGACTATGGAGCAAGTGGTAAAGAGTTCGGACCACTTTTGCAGCCACAATCTTTGCAAGTTGTTTAAGGTTATATTAGAAGGTCCCTAAGGCAAGGAAACCCTCATTGCAACTTAATTACATCAATTTCGGAGATAATGGAAAAATCGTGCAAAGTTCTGAATTGGGCAATGTTGGTAGATCAGTTGGATCAAAAACATGTAAAACAGGTACAATCAACATGGATACTTGATGGGAAGCTTATTCATCATTTGCAATTATGTTTTCGCCGCAGGTGGTAGTGGGGTAGCTAGCTAGAAAGTTCGGTCCATGCGAAGTTCTGCGCAAACCACTCGAAAGGAGCAAAGGCTTTGAGCAAGCTCAGAGCAATTTTTTGAATCACGTTATTGTGTTTTGAGCATTCTGTGATAAACTGCCACACATGCTCATAAATAGTTTGATACTAAATATAAAAACACGTTGATCTGGCATCGTGAGAGTGCACCACCCTTCAAGGTCTTTAGCCACTATTCTCAGTCAACGAGGAAAAATTATTGGTTTCAGGAGTTCAATATGGTTGAAGTCATGGAAAAGTGGCAGAGACCAAAACGCGCGCACAAGCATGATCATTTCCTTTTGGTGCTCGACTTTTTGCGCCACTTCTTTATAAATGTAAGCGACAGATAGATGAAGATGATAAGGTCGTCTTGTAATCACCGTTTAGGCCTGCGAACATTCAACAGTACGCCTGTAGACAGAGCGGGAAGAAGGAGAAATTTGACCATCTTAAGGACCTCCCGGAAGGATTAGTCGATTTCTTAATAAGTGGGTCAATGTGTGTTTGAGTACATTACTTTCAATAACTGATTTAGGTTTCATCCTTGACGCCCTTGGCCTACACCGCGACCAACTTCTGCGGACGCCAGATGAGCATAAACGGAATCCAAATAAGTATGTATGTTCTCGAAAGACCTTCATGTGCATTAGAATTTAGGTGGTGGTTGGACTTAGCCGAAAATGACGACGCTTGCGAAAAATTATTCGACGTCCTCTCAGAGGAAAGAGTAGTATGGAGCGGTAAGGCGAGGATAGCAAATGGGAGAGCTTTGTGAGATTTCTCATAAGGAAAGCGATACTTCTGAACTATATTTTTGCAGGGAAGACATCGGGAGGTATCATTTTGACCCTGATAGGTCCATGCTCCTTCCATCAAAGGTAATTCGTTTGTTTTATACGATCCTGGTAACAATAATTTTTTATTTTCAGAAAAAGCGCGTCATGGTCGAAGGCAGCAGTGTTACCAAAGAAGGCGTAACGATCCAGAAGACTGAAAACGTTGAAGATGAAGATGAAGTAGTCGTAAAAAATTAATGCTGTTGTCATTCTTAACCGTAGTTCTTTCGTAACCTTGTGTCGTGATTGCGGTGGTTTGATTCCTGTCTCATTTCGATGTTATTGTAAACGCTACTCGAGAAGATCATGTGGTATTTTCTAATAAATTTTATGACGTAAGACTGGGTTTATCAGCAGAAAAAAAACAAGCGTGGGAAACGGGACCCAACGTGACCAAGGACTCAAGGTAAGTCAAAAGGAAGGCGTGAGAGAGGGCTTAGAGGACGCAAAAAGCTGTCAGTAAGGGCGTGGGCCGCGTGCTCTGAACGCGATCGCGACATTTTGGTGTCTCGCGCAGGTCTCCCCATTTTGCCCCGATTTTGCCGCGCACTTTTGCCGCGACACAAAATCAGGTGTCCTGATTTTGCCGCGACACCGATTTCGCGAGTCGCCCACGCATTCAATGGCTACACATCGTTTTGCCCTGCGCGAGTCAACCGCGAGTGTCTGAGGAGAGGTGCTTTCCCAATGCATCCATCAAAGATGCCTGTTCCACTTAAGCCAGTCGTGGAAACGCAAACGCGATTTACTAGGAATTACCATGTTTTTACGCTGACGCATCGCAGTATGACAGCGAAGAGTTGGTGGCGTATGTTGAAGGGCATTCATTTTCTACCTGAGCGCTTTTTATCGAGACTACCAGGACTATACCGCCCAAGTATAAATAAGTCCCATCAGCGCGAAGCATTTTTGAAGTACCTCTGTGCAACATAATTTAGCGAGCTCTCAGGTGCTACTGGTGCATGTCGGCAAAGGCACTTTACACAAACCTTGCAGAGAATCATCACAGCTACCTTTGGCTTTTATTCCAACACGACCACTAAAAAGAAACGTTTAACAAAATGAGTCGTATACTTGCCAGAAAAAGCGTAAGCTTTCAAAGCGTTGTGACACGAATACAAAAAGAAAACATGTATTTCTTTGCTAGATTGATAACTTTCGACCAGGTAAATTAGTTTAGTATTTCAAAAGCAGAATAATATGCTTCTTTCAGCTTGACGGATGGAGCTTTTCGGGCACCAAATAGAGCGTGGAATAACCACGACAAGCACACTGATAAGGCAATTAGTTATCTTGATTGTTCAGTTGCTTATCTCCGGGAGCAAAGGCATTTTCTGTGGCGTAAATTCTGTCGGGATTGGGGTTTTCACCGTTTCTCATGAAAACTGTGGGGAGAAAAAAAATTTTCATTCCAAAACTGATCAGCCACATAGAGTGTCTGCCGTAGCTCGACCAGCAAGACCACAGCTTCCATGCTGGGTCTTCCCTAGTATGTGTGATTTTAGGAAGTGCACAACAATGTCGTGCTTCGTTAGTGAAAAGACCATTTGATTCATTTCTGCCAGCTTTTCAATAGTATCTTTTTCTTCGCAAGTGTTTTATCAGTATCCTTATTTGTCTATACGTCTTCTTTTAGACAAGGTAACTTTCAAGAATTTTTATAAGCGCAGGCATAACGATTTTATTTCAGTTCCCATTTGTTTCGACACATAATCGAGCAATGCTGCACCTGCCGCCTCATTGCTTTACACACTTTCTTTCACTTTCGCTATGCCAAATGAATTTTTTCCAACAAAAAGAAGATTTAACGCCTGACAAATTGATCTCACTGCCATGGCGTACATAAGCCTTTCTCTTTCTTTCATGCTCTTTCTTTCATCCAGCGCTTCGTGCAAGTCGTAGTTACGACTCGTAATGTTCTTGCTGATGTATGACATGACGTTTTCAACTATGTGACAAATAAAGCATTCTTTCTAGATATATGATTACTTCAAGATAAGTTTTTTCAAGTGGCTATAAATCTCAGCTTTGCCTTTGTACAAGTCCTTTGCTTGATTACGTCAGTCCTTTAAGGGAGACTTCCCAAGTCAGCTCGGCCAACCCGGATGAGTTATATATTGCCGTAACGGGCTTGAAACGCTGATTCCAAATCAGCTTTCCTTTTCTGCGGAGCGACTTTCGAGAGAAGTTATGAGCGTTTAAATGTCTAGATTTGTCAACACATGAAAGTGATTTATCAGTTTTGTACCAAGTATATTGATTACAAGGACGGAACACAGATAATGAAATTCCTTTAGGTGTTGTTTTACAGCTTTCAACTGATTTTTAGCCACTTTAAACATGACAAATTTAGACATTTAAACGCTCATAAATTCCCTCGAAAAGTCGCTCCGCAGAAAAGGAAAGCAGATTAGGAATCAGGGTTTGAAGCTCGTTACGGTGATATATGACTCATCCGGGTTGGTCGAGCTGACTAGGGAACTTTTCCTTGTCAGTTGTGCATTTAGCTTTCTGTCCAACAGATAAGCATAGATTTTGATAGGTAATGAGTCTGGACTTAACATCTGTTGTTTTGGGATCTTTACATGTCATTGACTCCTGTTCATAGGCTTTGAAGGTACTAATGACCAGCAAATGGTGGCCATTGGTAGTTCGCTCGTGATCTAAACTGCTGTTGTGGACTTATCGTTGCAATGTGAAGACATTAAAGCGTTTCTTCTCAATCTTATTCTTTCTTAACTTCTTATCATAACAACAACTGAAGAGAGAGCTTGCTCAATAAAAAGATTTGTAGTTTTTGTGATGTGCTAGAGGAAAGTTAATATATTTCATGCCGTAGGTGACATAGACCTAGGCTTTTCGATTTGAGAAAAAAGCTATGTATTTATGTTTCAAAACTCGTTTCCGAAGGGATGTTCTCGCGCTAGTGACAGTCAATCAATCATCACCGAAGCTTTAGAAACTAGGGTATCAAAATACTGAAATATTTACGGCACACATTGTCTTTTTGCATTCAACGTCCAACCTTATCGCAACAGAACTAAATTCAATTCTGTTTGACTGAAGTTATATTGAACATTAAGTGCTTCATCACTTTGCATGCGCAGCACCATTCCAGGGAGGTACAGTCCAATACTGCAAGCACGCTCAGATAGCAATACCGCTCTAGTGGCAATCTGCCATGCGCCCTTCAATAAGCCAGCTTCTGGCGGCCTTGTACGGCGCGGCCTGCGCAAAAATTTCGCGGCAATCGTGACTCCTGACCGTTCCCTTACATAAAATTATCATAAATATACAATATATAAAACGCAGGGGACCCATCTGACGTCACGTTGCCTCGACGGTGTCAACAATTGCGCATGTCTCAGATGCACCCATTGAACCCAAGATGACTCATTTTTTGCTTGAGCCTAATTTGCGATTGTTGATGCTTGAAAGTAACATCGATTGACTACATTTCCACCAAATGACAGTCCCCTATTTCAGTTTTTTGAAGCCGTGTTGATTTTTATGGTATCAGATCAAGTTTTACCACTTTCGTACGCAAATGTACTGCAGCAGCGACTGTAGATGCGAATTTCTCTCAGTAATCCTCTCAATTTGAATACTCAAAAATTCGCTTATTCCAGTTATTTGTGCAACATAACCATACCTCGAAAAATAGATGCAATAGGTGGAAAAATTTCTTTGACCCCCTTCACTTTAGGTCCGGGATCTGGCTTACTCCTTTCACCTGAGGAGACGAAACAAGATATAACGACAGAATCAAAGAGCTGTTACAATGACACTTTTTGTTTGGAAAGGAAATGCCAGCTGCTCTTCTCCTTAGACATTAAGACTACAAGAGAGCATCGAATCAACAGCGTTTTGTTCAAAAAAAAAACGCATGCTCGAGACCTTCTGCGCACTCAAAGTGGCGTTGCTAACGAAACATAATCAAGAGTTAAAAGGATGTCGGATTTTTTGAACAATTAACATTGTATCAATGAATGCACATTGTCTTAAGAAAGAGTTAAGCAAGAGTAGAAAATTTGGACTAGTTAGTTTGCATGTTTGCTGACAATAATCGTACTATCTCCTTTCACTAGAGAGGATAATAACAAATGAAAAAACAGTTAGATTACTCATTTTTCAAGCTTTCGAATCACATATAAAGTTCGAAAAAGACCCTCTTGGTTTCAAAAGATAATCACCCAGAATTGGCTGATATTGTAGCTAGATAAAACTACTCGTATCTCGCTTTGCAGAAAAGCTAGGAAAAAAAGTCAATCAATGCCGATTTCTCGTGTCCTTGGCTATCGAATGTGTATAAAGTGTTGGTGCAAAAAGCTTTCCCAGTCCAAAAAAGTCTTGCTCCGGCGACCTTTAGGAAAGCCGGAGCGGGAACAACTTAGTATTGAGTATTTCACCCAACATTCTATACACTATTACAAAGCTCACGAAAAAAAAGATTCGACGTAGACCCTCTTTTTTCTCTAGCTCCCCTCTATCTAGAGGTACATGGTATTTCAGTTAAAAACATGTGTGCTTTGGCAAGAAATGCGCGAAGAATGAATGAAGGTGCCTGATTGTCTAACAGTATCACAGAGCAAGACCTTGCCAGTAGTAGACGTCTTTTTTCCTATCTTTATCCTTTCTTTCAGAAATAAAGCACAAAATAATTACACAAAATTAGTTAGTGAGTATGCGTATTAAATTGCTCGTATCTCGCTTCACAGGAAAGCTAGGAAAAAATAGGCAGTCTACGTCGATTTTCCATGATCTCAGCTTTCGAACGGTTTAAAGCATATTAGGGTTTTTTTGCTTCCCGGCTTTAAAAAGCACTTACTCGGGTGACCGATAAAAGCCGATACATTGGGAGGGCTGGGTGGAGCAAGTTAATAGTAAATATCTCTACTCCATTTTTGAAAGCTGGCAAGTTTTTTCGCCCAGTAGTCTATGTACCATGCAAAAGCTCGTAAAAGGGAGTTTAACGTAGATCGTCGACTTCTTTCTAGCCCCCCTTTACCAAGAATACACTGCATTTTATCTGAAATGTCCATTTTCAACAGCAACTTTCTGCCAAACGAAGACCTGATCACTGCTAGTCATCTGTCTATGTTACAGAGGAAGTTTTCATTAACAAACGTAGACCGTCAACTTTCTCGTAGCATTCATTTCGAGAGCAGAAAGTGAGGACACAAAATCAGCTGATATATGAAGTACATAAGATACCTCATATCTCGCGGCACAAAAGACTTGGACAAAATCGACGGTCTCCTCGATTCTACATGACCTTAGCTTTCGAATAATATGTGGGGCATTTTGCTTTCAGGACTTACTTACCCCCTTCACCTTACAAGGATGGGAGTAGCAGAGACCCCTTCACTGGATAGGGCAAGGCTCCCCCTATCGCACCTATGCCTTGAAAGCAAAGCAAAAGAAATTTCTTCCACTTTGGGTTAGAACTGAAGGAATTGAGACAGGCCGAAAGGTTTCAAAACAGGCTATAAAGGTTCCAGGATAGGAAATCGGGAGTTTAGGAAATTTTGGCGAAAAAAACTATCCGCTTTTTGAAACTGCCGTTAACATTTACGTTGTGTATAAAGACAAAATGGAATCAAGACATTCTGCTTCATCATTAACTGAAACCTCGCTAACCTAGGAGTGTGATGTTACAAATCCAGATTCTGCCGCAATTTTCTTGCCAAGATACTGTGCTATCCAAAAATCGTATGACCACAAAGATATATCTGGTGAGCACAAAAGGCAAAGGCAGAGGCACGCTTCAATAGTAGCTATCTTCAAATAATTAAAATTCACAGAAGCCATGAGATGAGTTAGAACGTGAGCGATCTTAGGCCACTTTGGAGAAAATTTTATACGATGTTTGACCGTTTCTAGATCTGAAAGTTGTAGTGTTGGCTAGATGTCAATCTAAGTTGAAATCTCTTGCCAATTTGATTTATTGATACAACAGATAGGAAAACTCGAAGAAGTTCAGGAGGAGTGGAGCTTGTAAGGCAAGAGGGGACACTCACTGTGGGTAGCGAGGCGCCGGGGGAATAGCCAGGAAGTGTTCAAGGCTGGGAGAACTTTGTCGAGTGTGAGGCGACCACTTGGCCAGATACTTTTTGAATGCAGAAGTTTGAGAGCATTCAAGTACCGTCGCAAAATGTCGAAGGAATGAGGAACTGTGGCAGCTGTGGCGGGTACAGTCGTCTTAATCGCAGTCAGGCTGGAACCTGTTGGAAACATGCGCTCGCAACGCAAGAGTGTTGACTTCACCACTCTTATGGTGGAGTCTAAGATTTGGCGGCTGACCAGTCTTATGGAAAGCCAGTAGTTGGAGTTTGGTTGCTCCTGTGTGTTACAGTACACATAAGCTTACAAAAGGTTCATTGAGACATCAACGTACCCTCAATGGGCAATGGTAGAATGCTGCTCCTAATAGGAGGAGCAAGGCAAGGTAATGCATATCAATACAAAAGTATGACTTGAGATCGCGAGTTGGTGAAAGGCTACAAAGGAGTCTATGTATAGTCTGCCCCAATTCCAACCAGGCCAAAACTGGCATGGCGGGAGTCCGCGTCTCTAACATCTCGCGGTCACGCCCACGGCCTGCTTCACTGCTCTCTCTGCAATCTTTTTGCTCTCTCCGACAGCGCGCATATGCAGCGCAGACTGTAGCGCTGCGAGCGCGCAAATACACGTCGAGGGTTCGGCCTGGTCCCAATTGGAGCAGACCGTAAAGAGGAATTGATAAGATGAAGAGGTGCCGAATATATCGGCACAGCAAGATATCTGCGCGCGTCTGCTCGCTCATAGCATCGCCGTATAGTAAGTTTCAACTCAGTTTAGGCGGAAATTGGACTGGCGGGAGTCTGCTTCGCAACGATTCGCGCCGCTTTGCAGTCTGCATCTCTTCATTCTAATCTATCTCGCTGAGCCGGCGGCGGTGCGGACGCGCTGCTCCACTTGGAATGTTTCGCATACTCAGGGTTGAAAAAGACTGTAGTTGAAGAAATGAAGAGGGAACGGAGAGGTCCCAGCGCGAACGTCTGTAGCAAGCCGCAGGAATTAGTGCTGAAATATGGTCTGCAGAGTGCATCATGTCATTTTTAACGTGAGTCGGATCGCTCAAATAAATGTGTAAGTGGAGCATTCTGATTACAGCAGCTTTGCGGCAAGATTTAAAGGCGATCAAGCTAGATCTGAGAAGTGTGAGGATGCGAGAAAGATTACATAGTCGATCTGGGAGTTTCGCACAGAATGTTTTGTCCAAGGGTGTTTTTGGGGGGGGGGGGGTAGAGAGCGGGAAGGCAAGAATAAGGAAACTGTGTATCCTGTAGAGCATAGGAGGAATTAGAGGTGCGGATATAAGAATTTGGGAGGGAGCAGTTATTCTGTTGGTACCTTCGTTAAGAAAACTTTGGAAATTATCAGCCGTGAAAGGTTCATTACCCTCGATTTCGATAAACTCTTGGGTCAAATGTCTAAGAAATTCTTACCGTATTTATAAAGAGAAAAGGTTTTCTTAGAGCTTTAAAACTTTTAAGCTTTAGTCTCCCATTTCACACACACACAAACAGTTCAAAGCTCGCTTCGCGGCGCTTTGGGCTGGTGCTACGATATTTGTGTAGACGGACGAGGGCTAAGAGGAACAGACTGAGAAAAGTTGTGAAAAACTGTCTGAACTACTGAGAAATAGAAAATAACTCTCTCGCATTCTACACGCAGCGTTTTGGTTCATTTGATATGTATACGCGCAGTGAAACTACGGAGGAAAATGTGAAAAATAATGAAAAATACGTGATTAAAAAGAGTGCTTAACTTTCTCCCAGATAAGGTGGGCAACTGCACATCTAGTGCCAACCGGTGAACTCCTAGTTCACAAAAGTATTTTTCAATTCTTACATAAATCTGTTCTATACCCAATGTTTACTATATAGTACAAGTTTGGTTTTGGAATTTCTCCTCATTTCTTTGCTAGAGTCAGGAATAGCAAAAAAAGTCGAGGCTTTCAGGGAAGAAAACGCGCTCCAACCAAGCAGCCTCCACAGCTGGTGCGAACAAGGATTAAATCATATATTCAGAGTGGCAAATGCATATTCGTTTCGCAAGAGTCTGTTTGCCCCTTAATGCGGGGCCCTGCTTAGAATCACGAAGGTGTGTGTTTTTGCTTGAATTGAATCTGTAGAAAGCTATCAAGACTTGCATGTAGTTTGAATACTAGTTGAGCAAGTGCTCCATTCAAAGAGTGCCTTTACTTCGGAAAACCTCTATATTAGGATTTACCGAATGTGGATGAGGCCGTAATAATAGTACGCAGCCTTGTGTAATGATTCAGGTATGAAAAGTGAAAAATCGTGCCACGAGTGTTCACAGTTTTAACTTTTCCAAGTATCGTTCGATGTTGCTCAAGCGTACATGCAATCAAAAATTGGTGTCATACCAATGCCTTTTGTGTGCAAGCAAGCCAAGTGTTCGTCTGAGGTCCAGACTATTCTGAAGAGATCTCTGGGATTCGTGGCAAGGGCGACAAAGGTACCCCAGACCATAATATTATGATAAAATGGAGTTGACATGAATGTATTAGGTTGACTCAAAATTTCGCGGACATTTCTAGACTAGATTTGCTATTTCTCGAAACCTAATCCGATAAAGATACCATTCGTTAGAGCAAAGCAAGCTCTACAAGATGATATGCAAGAATCGCACTAGCTTCGACCCACTTATGTTTGCACTCAGAATTAGAGTCCTACAGAAGGCTCAAAAATTGAAAGAAATTCATATCTTCGTTCGAATAAATGCTACGTATCTCCAACTTACTCATGCAAACTGCACATCACATCAGACACTCACTTGTACAGCTCCTGCATTTTTTTCTTGTCTAGAAATCTAGAGAACCAAAGTTTTCATGCTCATACAAAAACGAAGCTACGCTGTTCCCACTCATGTAAATGTATAGTACAAGTTCTTGGAAGTGTAACCGCAAATTTTCAGCTTTCTACTGGCTTAATTCCTAAAAATTACCGAATTGAGCTCTCCTCGCCTAGGAGTTCCCTGCTAAATCAATACCTTTTGAAAACTAGGGCTTGCAGAAAGCTAGAAATTTACGGTTTTACTTCTGAGGGCTGGTATTATACAATTGCGTGGGTATACACACAGCTTCGTTTTTTTATGAGCATGGAAATTCTCCTTTTTTTCAATTGCTAGATGAGAAAAACATACAATAACGGTACATATGTATGTGTCAGATGTGGTGTGCATTTTGCGCGAGTAAGCTAGAAATCCGTAGGACGTTTTCGAACGAAGATATAAACTTTTTTTATTTTTCAGTACGACTCAAATTTTGGGTGCAAATTTTCGTTGGGTTGAATCCTGTGCGAACTTTTGCATACCATCTTGTAGAGCTTACTTTGTTCTACTGAAAGGCTTCTCTATCGGATGTATATGCTTTAGATTTTAAGAAATAGCAGATCTAGTCTGAAAATGTCCGAGAACTTTCAAGCCAACCTAATAGCAAAAAGTCGACAAAAAATGTAGCCATGACAGAAAAAATATAACATTATTTTTGCTTTTCTTCCACTTTCTCGTATGAAAGCAGGCCAAAAGCTTTATTGAAGTCGAATGTGAAACATTTTTTGAAGAGAATGAATTTTACGATGTCGCATTATGATCATGAATGGTAGAAAGAGCATGCCGCACACTTCGAAGCTTCATTTCAGTGGTTCCTGCAAGCAAATGTCTGTGACTCTTGAAACATTGAACTAGCACTGGGTAAAACTTACTTAATACGCACGGATCTCGCATCTACTGTCTTCTCACTAATTTTCCCGCTTGCTTGGTCGATAACACGTTTTCTAAAAACATTAGAGAATTAGTTTTCTTAGCAGAAGCAGTTTGAAAGGAAAAAGTTGAAACTTGTCAATGTCCCTACATTTTTTTCCAAACTAATTCCTGAAGTGAAAAGCTCAGGACGTCTACGACCTATTATTAAAGTCATTCCTAGACGGTTACGATTTCACAAAGCCCAGAAAATAAACAAAATTCGGAACAGCCAGCTCAAGTGCAAGTCGAATATTTGCATCTTTATGCCAATTAAAGAGAAAATAAGTATTTGTCTAATCCATAATCCTTTATATCTTCACCCGATAACTCAAAACTTAGACCGATCTATCTTGTGTCTATCAAAAGAGTAGCTCCTTCACGGATGCCAACTGCTGTATTCCAATTTTTCAAGCGATTTATAATTTAGCACCACAGAATAAGTACATGCTTGCACAAAATTTCTAACTTTGTCTTAAAGTAATTAAATGATGGAGTTTTTAAGCACAATCGGGAGAGTTGCTCCTGCCTGGATTACTTGCATATGCAATGCAAATTACGTTTTATTTTCAAAAGAGATTCGTTTCCAAGTCTTAGCAAACTCACTTTTTATGAACTTCTCTGAAAACCTTACTGCCACCAGGTTCATTCATTCCGACTCGATCCATCGTTACCATAGGTGAACCAGGGAGAATACGCGGTAGTCCGTCCCTCCTGTCGCGACCCATGCCAGATGAACCAGGGAGAATAGGCGGTAGTCCGTCCCTCCTGGAGTGACCAATGGGACCAATCACTCCCCCAAACCGTCCGTCCCTGGGGTGACCAACGGGACCAATCATTCCCCCAACCCAACGGTCCTGGCGCGGAGCAGCCATGCGATCAAATTTTTTTTGCACACTTATTTCAGTTTTTTTCACAGAAACTTCCCGTTGCGGAGCAGCCATGTTCAGGCTCAGCATGGACAAGAAGACTAGCAGAACAATGCACTTCATCCTGATAAAGCTGCTTTCAAATTAGCAAAAGCAAAAAATGCGAGTTTGATACGAAAATCACCACATAAATAAGTGCAACATAAAGGAGTATAAAGTCAGATATCTCCAGTTTAAAACTCAAAAACGGAACAAGACGATGAAGCTGACTAAAATAGCAAACAATTAAAGATTTTGTGTTTTTTCTATTTCTTTGCAGACTTATCTCATAGGTTCATTATAGAGTCTGCAACTATTAAACAAAATCACCTAAATTTTCACTGCAAAATTTTTTTGAGAAAAACTTCATCGCGAAAGATGCTTTTCTTCAAAATTAATTCAAATTCTGCGATTCTCAGGGTCCACAAGAATTGTTTAAAAAATAGAATCTTCCTGACTCGCAAACAGTATTGCATTGATATTTGTTAGCACACAACTAATGTTAAGTTGAGCACTCCCCCCCCCCCAATTCTAGGTCTCAAGAAGAATTAAGCTGTCTTCTAGCTTCATCCTTTCAATGAACATTTTTGGAACCAAAATTCTAAAACTCTGCTGCTTAAGATGTGATCTATATCCCTCAAAATCATGCACTGAAATTTTTTCGTTTGCAGTTATGCATTGAAATTTTTGCCTAAAATGCTTCATAGTTAGAGCAATCAAAGCGCAAGATAGCTAGCTTTTGACTCTATGGAATTTGTAGGCAAATCGTTTTTCTTGAAGAAGCACTAGTGTGCGTTCACGCTTAAGTTTTTTTCAAAAATAATCTTTCTGAGAAGAGAGGTGAGCAATGTAAAATTTTCATGTAAAAGTTGAAAATAAGACTTATAGAGATGAAAAAAACTGAAGTTCTATGCAAAAAATTCAAATACCACTTCTTATATACTAGTATACGCATCAATAAAATATGCGCGCTGACGGTTGCGTGATTTCTTCAAGAAAAAGGAAATAAATTTCCGATAAAAAATATGTAAAAGCGCGCCTTGACAGTTTATGGCCAAATTTCGCTTGGTGATTTTTGGTCCAATTTGCCAAAATTACCATTTATCTTTTCACAATAAAACCTCGAGCGCTATCAAACAAAGCAAAATCGCAAAAAACAAATAAAATATGCGTTTGCGCTGTATGTCCCCCACATAATGTTTTGCGAAGAAACATCGTGCTCATACATTTTTTCTCCACTTTTTTCCATTGCTTTGTTGTAGCCTCTTTCAGGACATTCAGAAACAAAGACTGATTTATCCACCTTGCTGTTCGTGAGTACGACAACATCTTTAAGAGAATTTGCTGATTCCTCTAGAAATTGACTTAAAAACAAACTGCAGAAATAGAGAATTTCAAAGAAAATATTGCAGAAAATCTGACAGAAAATATTGTGTTGGCTTGATTGTACAGCTCGGACATAAATACTTTTTTGAAAGACTTATGAACTTGAAAATGTGTTCCCAACAGAAAAACTTTGGATAATGATAAATTCCTCCCTTCTGCGAAATATCTGAATGGCTTTGTTCGATGAGGTAAGATAGCTTTGAGATAATCCTCTCATTCGCTTTCGGGACTCAAACGCCTAAAGCTGGCTATGGTACAAATGAGTAACATAAATATTAGGTTGATGTCAGTGCATATTCCTAATCCTAAAACGGCAGAGAAGACGTCTAAGTATGAGACATATCATCCGACAAAGCAAAGCAAGCTCTAGAAGACAATAATCAGACAAACCAAGAGCCTCGATCTACGCTGAGTCCGAAGAAAAATCGGAAAATTTTGAATACCCAAAAACCGCTGTATTTGAACGTACGCATTCAATAGCTACAAAAGAAATGGAGTCATCGAGATTGGACCTCGTTGCTTCTTGCTCAAAGGAGCTAACAATAAGATCTCTTTAATGAGTAGTGTTGCTCAGCTGAGGTCTTTTGGCTATACCAACGCAATCATGAGAAGGCATAAAACACCCGAGTTGAACTAACCAACTTAACCGGAGAAGGCGAAACCTAGGTACCTTACCCCTGCGAAAGGAAAGGTAAACCTCCAAGAAAGGGGATCGCTGTTTTACAAACATTAGCAGATTTTTTATAGCAAGAAACATCTCAACCTTCAAAATGCCCGTAGGGTTAAATTCGTTTGGAATCTGTCTTCGGTTGTTTTCCGCAGGTTCAATATATAATAGCGGAAGAAGATGGAGCAAAAAAAATTAGGTTTAAGCAAGAGCTCATGGTCATTCAAATAAAATTCAAAATCCAAACACTGGACTTAAATTCGTCAGTGTGTTTCCCAAAAATAGCTGAAAGATTGCTCTCCATGAAAAATGTTGATGCGTAACTTTCTACGAGCTAGTAATGAAGAATGAGTTCTGAAAATGGCATTTTAAAATTCGCGATTCCGAGTCTGATGCTGCTAAATGTGGGCTTCTAGCTAGCCCCAAAACTGCATAAAGTCATACATAGCAGTAGTCCAAACCTTATTGTGGTCAATCTCTTCAATCTCCCATAAAAACGCAAAAATAAAAAATTTGTCAAAATGTCATTTTACAGTTAAAAACCCCTTATTACTGCAATCAGCAAAAACACTGTGTGACCAAAAAAGTTACAGTCTTCCAGGTGAACATTAGGTTAATTAAAGATATCGAGGTGCATTTTTGTGAGGAAACTGCAGCAATAAGGAGGTTTTCCTTGTAAAAAATGACATTTTTGACTAACTTTTTGTTTTCGCATTTCTATGCAGGATCGAAGCCTGCATGGAGACATACAGTGAACTATAAATTTGAGCTATGCAAAAAATGCTCACAGATTTTTTGGGCCTAAAGACCCTTCGCAAATATTAGTAGTAGCAAACTTAAAATTGCAGATTTTCAAACCCATTCTTAAAAATTTTGTTCTTATTGTCTCATGAAAAATCACTCCGCATTCATCATAGAGCGCACCTTCAGCTATTTCTGACTAATGATAATTGAGGTTTAAAAAAGTTATAGAATTTTATTTGAATTACGCAAGATAATGCATTAACCTAATATGAGATGCGATTTTACATTAAAAGTAGCAAATTAAATGTTGTTAAGCGTAGAACTGGATCCAGACATAATCTCCGCAGAGATATCGTATACTATAACTTCGACGTTTGTTTACTTTATCAGCATTTGGTTTTACAAACGCAACTTTATATCTGTAGAAGAACTGAATCAATGTAGTAGTGTGGAAATTTTTATTGGAGCTTTGAACTAATGTGGACTGTTCTAAATAACTTTTAAACTAATATTCAAAGTAAACAATCTGCGAGAGATTGAGGAGCATACAGTACAGGGTGCGCCACAATTATTTGCGCGTGTTTCATTAAGCGCCATACGAATATAAGACCGGCTCAGTCAGCGGTCAAGCTTGATATTGTTTTCTTGGATCAATAGTATTGTAACTTAGTTAAAAAAAATGTGAAATTGCCTGTTCTGCTTTTCGCTAAAAGTTCATAATATTTCCTTGGCTTTGTCGCATGCTGCACGCGGGTAGAGGCTTACAAATTTGCCCAGCATGTATCTTTTTAGTGACCGCTTCTCCCAGGCAAAGATTTCGCTGTATAATAGAGCTAGTTTTAGACTTTAGGATCACTAAGGTTTGGAATCTTTGAAAGCATTCAAAACAATAATTTTGACTATTTAATAATTTGCGTCAGCTTGCGTTTTTTTCCGTCATGAACATTGCTTTTTGCAATTCTTACTTCTCTAAATAAAGACCTATTTGGGTTGATAGTGCTTTTTATAGAGTATGCTTAAGGCATTCTGTGACATTAAATCCAGAATAAATTTCTGATTGCCATTGTTGTGGCATTACTTTGAATATTTTGGCGCACCCTGTAGTTGAAGTAGTTGAATTTTTACTAAACTTAGTAAGGAGAAATTTCTGAACTTCGCAACAAAATTTTGAAACCTTGAGTAAATGGCTCAAAAGTGATGAAATCATCATAGAATTCCTAAAAGACAATAGTCCCGTAATCCGAACAAAGTAACGAATGTGACATCGTAAGGATTGATGTGTAATCTGCACATAGAAATGAAGCAGAGGGAATAAGCTACTCAAACCAAATAAAAAGCGTGATACTATTTACTTGCGTGGAGTTTATTTTGCTCGAAATACAGCTTTTTTCAATAGGATATGATCGATAATTTTGGGTTTTCTTGCGGATTTTCCACGATTATTGACAGAAATGAAGCGAGGAACCCTTGCAAAAGAATTTTGAGGTTCTTATTTGCAATTTCATGTTTACCTATTGAAATCATACAAATTTTTTTTTGATCCGTTGTTCTTCCAGCTTCTCAGGAAAAAAACATGTTTTAAACAATTTATTGATATACAACATTGGTAAAGTATATGAAACTCTCATCATGATTAGACGTCAGACGTCGAAGTCATCAGTTTACGTTCTCCTAACTTTACTTGGAGGTGAAGGTGGCGATGATTTCCTTTCCGGTGACGATGATCTCTTTCTTTTTTCTCTCCTCACTGTTTCTGCTGCCTCAAGGTTCATTCTTCTTTTCTCTGCCCATTCTTCTACTTCTTCAGCAACTTCTTTGAAAGATTCTCTGAATCAGATTTGATTATGGGAGTAAGCAAAACAAGTTTGCGATAAACTATGTTTCCAAAGATATACAGGGTGTCCCAAAAAGATGTGCACACTGTTTGATCGTTAATAACTCTCCTGCTTTCTTGTCTTTTGCCGAGCTTGAGGTGTCATTCTGTAGACCGAGGTTCAACTTAGATTTGCTGTGTGGAGCGAATGACCGATCCTTCTTCATTACTGTAAGATTAAGGTAGGAACTTCGAGGAGGATTTTAAGCCATTCAAAGCGGTATTTTCCCCGTAATTTGCCTCAGAAAGAGCCAAACAAGCCAGAAACTCTTGAATGGGCTAATCGAAGCCCCTGAGTCTAGATTTGAAATTTGCACTTTAGTATAGCGCTTCTTTCATAAGTTACGTCAGATTTATCGTAACAACTGTTTTTCCAATGTCCATCAGAAATGTGAATACGCCATCAAGAAAGCTCGAAAAACTCATGAAAAGTCATGTAGTGAAATCAGCATGTCTGAAAATCTTGCCGTACAAATTTTCAGATTTTTTGGAATTATTTCATGAAAAGGCCTATCTCATAGTGACGCTGTATGCTGGAAGTTCATACCGTAATCCTACAGTAATGAAGAGTGATTAGTGATTCGCTCCACATAGCAAATCTAAGTTGAACCTCGGTCTACAGAATAGCACCTTAAGCTCGGCAAAAGACATGAAAGCAGGAGAGTTACTAACGATCAAACAGTGTGCACATCTTTTTGGGACACTCTGTATTGTTGTTCGCACTTACCCGCTCTACTATACCTATCACCAGATACGCAAGTGTAAAGGCAAAGATTGGGTTAGCCTTGGGTAACTCAGGAGAGCCAAAAAGTAAGAGACAATCAGTGAAGGGTGGAAAAAAATTCTCACATGAATTCTTTGATTTTCTTCTGCTGATCGTTCTGATACGTTTCCGGAATTTTTTCAACACTGGTGCGCTTGAGAGTAGCAACCATGAAATCTATAAATATAATTTGGCGATTTCAAGCAATCATCGCCTTTGGATACCGCAAATTTTATCGCTATCTACATAGATACCGGAGCTTGGGTCGCGATCGGTTGTCAAGTGCTTCCATTTCTCGCAAGAAAACGCCCAAAAAATAAAGTTTTACTTGTTATACGCACAAAAAAAAGAACGTAACCCACATTGACAAGGACCATAGCCATGAAGTTTTCGAAAAATTCATCCTTATCTCTGGGTCCGGTCTGTACCAGCGTGTTGTAGACCTCATCGAGATTTACCGGTTTGTCAGGTTCACCTTCGAATATATGCTCATTAGCAGCAAACGACTTTGAGCCGAACCAATTATCTGGTTCATGACCTTGTCGTATCTTGTCCTAAAACATAGAAAATATTCATAGAAGAACGTGATTTTTCGATATCAGCTCGTGATCCAAAATTTCAGTCATTTCTCTACTCACCTTAATGTCCATAATTACACCAATGACACGAATGAAACGGTAGGCATTTCTTAGTCTTTGGGGAACTGCTTCTTCTTGCTGCTTGTCAATTATCATATATATTTGTTCGAAATCAGAAAGATCGAATTCTGTATAGTAGGGGCTTTTCAAAATATTCATAGCCATATCGATATCGTCCTTGTCAAAGCCGCCTTTGATACTCTAGAAATATGTAAGGCTGAGTGTGTAACATGACATTAAGCACTTACTTTGCAGATCTGGCGGAAAGTTACTTCCATCGTCTCTGACTTGGAAAGATTTGCTACAGTATTGCTAGAGGAGTGTGGTGACATATTTCAGCGCAAAGCAGTGGCAGAAGTAGAATGCATGGCATTATCGCTCCATTTTATACGATTCTCTCAAGATCAAGGAATATTTCCAGAAAAGATTAGATAAAAAGCGTCAAATGCGCCTTATCGGGTCAAAGGTGCAGCGTCTAAACTTTAGCTTAGCACCAGGACGTTAGCAAAATCGGCGCTTTATCAGTTAATATAAAGCTGAATGTCTGTTTGTCTGTCTGTATGTCTGTCTGTCTGTCTGTATGTCTGTCTGTACGTATGTTCCGAATAGAAAATTCCATTTCTGAACCGATCGGGACCAAACTTGGCACACATACACTTCGGGCCCCGGTGGGTGTCATAGGCTACTTTTCGTCATCGATCGATATCGATTTTATCGATTTTTTGCAAAATTTGAGCTACGGGGCTGGGAGTTGGCACAGGGGGGTAATCGAGCATGCTGATCACCCCCGTGGGGGTGATCAGCATGCTCGGTTACACCCCTCCGCCAAATTTCAGCCCCGAAGTGTATGTGTGCCAAGTTTGGTCCGGATCGGTTAAGAAATGAAATTTTCTATTCGGAACATACGGCGGAGCCGGGTAAGCCAGCTAGTCAGTTAATAATCGCAGCCTCTAAACTTAAGCTTAGCACCATGGCGTTAGCAAAATTGGCGCCTTATCGGGTAATAATTGCAGCGTCTAAACTTGAGCTTAGCATCAGGACGTTTGCAAAATTGGCTGTTTTTGCAATGAGTTTACTAAGTTGAGTCAAGAGCAATGAGAACTTCTTTTTAGAAAACCTTTTCGCAGAATGGGTAGAAAAGATAGACAAGTGCTTTGAGCTGTATTATAAGCAGTTTTTTGTCCCCTGTTCAGCAGTCATGTCATCAAAGTAATTTTCTTTTTGATTGGAAGTAATCTCCACAATTCAAACCCGTCGTTTTTGCCTTGTCTATAGTTAATCCTCAAAATTTTCATTCCAAAATGCCACTGAGTCAAAGCAAACTTGTTCAGTGCGTATCTTATTCAAGCCTTCGAGAATTAGTTTTATGGGTCTGAAATGATTTTTTCCAAAAACCTTTGATACTGAGGAAATTGCGTAAAACATGAATGCATCAAATCCCAGAAAACATTTGGATTCAAAAGCCTCAAAAATCATTTGCCATCAAGCCTTGATTTTGCAAAACAACCAAGCTTACCGCTTCAAAATACCGTCGTCTCCTATAACCCGATCCCAAAAAACGCTAGATTGGTCAGCCCATTTGTATGGCATCAATGTTTGTTCTGAGACACCAGCAGCAGATTCGCGGCTTTCGTTCAAAGACGCGATGGTGCAATCATGAGGACGAAAGGAAACAGAAGTCCCAGCGCGAACGAGAAATTACGACGCGTAGGATACGCTTTGCTGCTGTGATAGTTGTGTTGAAATACGCAAGTGAGTGCCAAGTGTGTTGAATTATGCGAGATGGTGATGTTCCGGTAATTAGGTACGAAAGCATACCATTTATTGACCCGCTCACACTCCATCTCTGCGAAATTTTCATCAGTACAGTAATGCAGGATAACCAGTTGAAATCCAATAGTAATGAAATAAATTTGAACTTATTTTTTGCTTCTCCCAGTTAGTAAAAACCGATCGATGCGCGTTTTACGACCGTCTCCCTGGCATTGGGTGGGGGGGGGGAAGCATGCTGATTACGAATACATTATCAGTTTTTAGGATCATTTATTACTTGTATCGGTTTTACAAAGTTTATTTTGGTGGGAATCAAGTGTCGTAGGCGATAGTGGTGTCGATAATAATTTATCCACAGACGAACCCCGGTGTTGAACCGGGGGGAGCAACCTCTAAAACATTCGGGGGCTCCTTATATAGCTAGTAAGGCGGAGCTGACCCGTGCACAATCAGACTGTCCAGGAAATATATGCAAGAAAGAGGATGCTGCGGCTTGGCGCGGCCCCTGGAAGATAGGTGCCACTCACTGGTGAGTGATTCGGCACTTAAATATAAGCGGTTGGGGAATGTAGCTTTTGGGGAATACCCGTAAGCTATTAGGACTATAGAATTATTGAGGTTGATGATACATAAATCATCAACACTCCGGGCGAGCAAGGAGGAGGCGAAATGTGTTAGAATGTAAATAGATAAATACAATCAAAACCTCCTAAAAGCATTCGTACTTAGAAATTGAGATACAGCTGTGTTCATGAGTGTAAGCTATTAGATTAGTTGTCGAGGTTGATGATTCATTGATCATCAACACTCTGGGCGAGCAAGCAAGAAGTTAATCTGGTAAGCACAAGATACAACAAATACATAGATTTGTATGGACATAGTCATACTTATGTGAACTACAGACAGAAGAGAATTTACGGCGAACGGTTGTAGTGGTTAGTGGTTGCTGTTCCGTAGTGTGGCTTCGCCTTTCGTCGTCGTCTCTTCTTCCTCGTCGGATCTGCTCTCGTCGATTTTGAGTTGACAGAATCGTCGTCGGCGATTGTCTTCGTGATAGCCGGCGTTTCCGTGATCAGATGTTCGTGATTTGTGGTCTTCGGCATGTCCGTCATCTTTATCTTAGCTTGTGACGTCGGTTGAAATGTTCTGGCAAGAGTTCCATTCGCATTCCTCGAGTTGGAGGTGGAAGTGAAAGAATCCAATGTGCAGCGAACTTTGGCTAGCCAGCGCTGTCTGTCTGCCTTAGCTTCTCTGATGAAAGCAGCTGTCAAGGTTTTCCTCTTTTTCGGTGACAACTTCTTTGTCTTTTGAGATGTTACCTCAGCATGCGCTTGGAGAATTCTCCTGTTAATTGCACGTGTACTACTTTCGTTGAAATTGGTGCCCGTTTTCCTCGTCGTCAGCCATTTGACGTGTCGTTGAGGGTGAGGGGCGGATTTGGAAGCTTCCTGCATCGTTGATGTACAACCAAAAGTGCCAACGATCTCTGTGCTTGCGATGGTACGGCTTGTACCGGATATGACATATCCAAAGATGGTTGGGGTTAAGATGAGTCCCGAAGGAAGCTTGAGCACTGTTTTGTTGTGAACAGTGACGAAACTAAGAAGATCTTGTCCAATAATGAGTTCAGGCAAGACGCGTTTATGAGTGAGCGTATCTTGAGCTATCTTCAAGTTCTTATTGGAAATGAACTGAACATCTGCATCTGTGAGATGTGCTGTATGTAAGTTGGCAGTCAGCTTCTCTTTCGTGTGCACTGATATCTTCTTAAGCTTCTTTGCGTTGTGAAAGCTTCTCAAAGTAATTTGCACTTCATTGGAACTGAATGTCTCTTTCAATTCTCCCATTCCTGATGTGGTGAATGACGTCGTTTGGATGACTGGCAGCTTAAGCTCATCACCAAATTTTGATTTGATGAAGCTTCGCTGGGCGCCAGAGTCAATCAGTATTGTTGTGGGTTGATAATCCCAATGTTCCTCGTTGAATATCATTGCCGACGCCATTTGGAGTACGCTTTGGCGCACGACGGGTAGTTCTTTGCTTGAGCTGCAGACTTCGTTTCCATACGACGGGCTTCGTGCAACGTGTACTCCATTTGCTTTTCGATGATCTGAGTTAGTTCTTCGCTGCATCCTAGAGACATGCAAATGATGATTGCTGCTCGTAGGAAATGGAGACTGCTCGAAATTTCCTCTCTCCTCTTCCCATTCCGATTCATTATCTGTGTCCTGATGGCCGCTCGTATGTGAAGTGCTTGGAAGCAGTGTCTTCATCGTTAGTGCGGTCGTTTCCCGAAGAGAGATGATGTCATCTATCGCGTCTAGGATCTCCGAAACATCAAAGTGATCGCCAACTACGGTTTCCTTCTGTATGACAGTTGCGCAGATGGCTTCAGGAAATTTCGACAGGATTAGTCGGCGCCAAATTCTGTCTGCGCTCATCTTCATTCCGGTTTGTTCTAGGTGAATGATCCGCGAATTGACTGCTTCGAAAGTTTCTCGACAACTTTCGGGATTGTCTTTTGCTCCTTCAAGTCGCTCGATTTCATTGATGAGTATATCTGCCATGCTGGCAGAGCGATCAAAGTGCTTCTTCAGGATGTCTACGGCTGTGTTGTATTTGTTTCCGACGACAGGGATGCAGTTCAGAGCAGCAGCAGCTTTTCCTTCGAGCGCTTGCTTCAGAAAAAGGAATTTGTCGCCATTCGATAGGTCTTCGTCGCAGTGAATGAGTGATTCGAACACTGTCCAAAAACTGTTGAACTCTCTGAAGTTTCCAGAGAATGTAGGAATCTCTAGAAGCGGTTTCCGGATATTGATCTGGCGTTCACTTCGTTTTTTTGTTGAGCTTCTTGCTATCTCACTGTCTGGTTGACTTGGAATACCAGGAGCAGACGTATGCAAAAGTGTCGTTTGCTCCCTCAGTTCATGTTGTCTGAACTGTATTCTGTTTTGCCATTGAACTGCTATCACTTCCAGATCGAGTGCTTCCAGCTCCAAATGCTTGCTAAGTTCAACCATCAGCTTCTCTCGTTCCTTTTCTTCACTGCGTGCACTGATGTACTCAATAGCAGCGTTGAGCTGTGTTTCTTGCAATTTCACAGCGTTTTGCAACGAATTGAGGAGATTTGTTATTACTCCTGCCTTTTCTTTGGTATATTCTTCACATTCCGCTTTTGTTGTTGGAAATGTGAAGGGGACGTCTACGTTCTCCACTTCGGACTCGTAGGATTTTACGAGCTTGCAAGCGTTGTTGATTTTGTGTTTGAAGAGTTGAAGAGCGGCCATTTTTGCTATACCGACTTCTAGTTTCTTCTCTTCCTTAGAAAGCTGGTTGCTTCGAAGGTACAAGTTAGCGAGGTTTCGTTAACTTGTAGGCGTATCTTCTGGTGATCCGTTGAGTAGAGGCAGCTGTGGTGCTGGTCTCTGAGTTGCAAGCGTGCCGGGGTGGCTTGAACGCTGACGTGGCTTGGACCTTGACCAGATAAGGATTGGGTTTCAATCCTCTTAAGTCAAGAGTTCTTGGCCGAACTTTGACTTTTTTGGCAAAATGAGCGCTT